TGTTTTGCAAATAAGTTCATTTGTATCATTTTTTTTAAGCTTCCACATATAAGTGATATCATATGGTATCTTTTTTTCTCTTTCTGGCTTACTTCTTTAGAATGATGATCTCCAGGTCCATTCATGTGGCTGCAAATCAGGCCAAAGTTCTCGTTCCACAGAACAGACGCAGCGGCCACGCGCTGAGCCTCTCTGCGTCTCAGCCAGTGTGTGGCTTTGCTCTTGTTCAAAGATGGTCTTACCTTGCCCAGAAAGACCCAAAACACCTCACCTTGGAAAGGTGTTTTCTACTCAGAAAACCCTATTGAGCTCATTTCACTCTTTTTTTTCTTTCTCTTTTTATTTATATGGTGGATCTTTTTACTTTACATTGTTTTATTCTTATTTTTGTTTTTGACTTTATTTAAAATTTTATTGTTGTAGTGTCTTCGACCCAGGTTTGCATTATTTCCAATTACAAAAATGATGCACTCAGTTGAAAAATACTTGCATATACAGAAATGCATAAAAGCGAACCGTAAAAAATGCCTTTTCCCCTCCCTCCTCAATTTCCAGGCTACTTCCCAAAGGGTGACTGTTGTCAACAATTTGATCCGTATCTTACATTTCCTCTTGCTCATATAAGCACGTACAGATCTTCCTCGATTTATGAGGGGGTTAAGCCCCAATAAACCCATTGTAAGTTGAAAATATTGTAAGCCAAAAATGCATTTAATAAACCTAACCCACTGAACATCATAGCTTAGCCCAGCCTACCTCAAACTTAGAACACATGCATTAGCCTACAGTTGCGCAAAATGACCTAACACAAAGCCTATTTTATAATAAAATGTTGAATATCTCATGTAATTTACGGAATACTATACTGAAAGTGAAAAACAGAATTGTTGTCTGGGTACCGAGTGGTTGTAAGCGTATGGGTTATTTACCTTGGTGATGGCGTGTCTGACCGGGAGCTGTGACTCCCTGCCGCTGCTTAGCGTGGCGAGAGGGTGTCACAGCACGTATCACTAGCCCAGGGAGAGATCAAAATTCAAAATTCTAAACACCACTTTTACTGAACGTGTATCGCTTTCACACCATTGTAAAGCTGAAAGATCCTAAGTCGAAGCATCGTTAAGTCGGGGACAGTCTGTCTGAAAGGTACACATACTGTTTTGCAATTTGACTTATTCACTTAATAGGTATTCATACAGCCATCCTTTTTTTTAAAAAGCCTCATTGTATTTCCTCTGTGGACACATCATAATTTATTTGACCAATCTCTTACTGATGGACATTTAGGTTGTTCCAACCACTGTTACAAGGAGTGCTTCTGTGCACATATACACCCGCAAGCTTGTGGAAGTATGTCTGAAAGATAAATGTCTACAGATGAAATTTCAGTGTGGAATAAATTATGGTGGAAACTGATAAGTTGTTATTCAAAAGGTGGTAACAATTCATACTCTCAAAATATATGAGATCATCTATTTACCCACACCCTCACCAACGCTGGCCATTAATACTTTATAATGTCTTGCCAACCTGAGAAAGAAATAATACGTTGGCTTATTATGCATTTTTTTATTGTAAGGTGAGCATACTTGTATATTTAATGATCGATATTTCTATTTCCATTGTAAACTGGCAGTTTGTGTATTAATCCTTTTTTATTGGGTTGTCTGTTGTTTTCTTATTTATAGAAGTTCTATATAAAGTAACAATAGTAGTTAATGCTTATTGGGTACTTACGAAGTCCCAGCCATTGCTGCACATGCTGTATGAATTTTCACTTGTTTAACCCTTCACAGCCCCAGGAGGTCCTATGATAATCCCATTTTACAGGCCAGAAGTCTGAGGCACAGGGCTGTTATGTAACTTGCCAGCTAGTAAGTGACACAGCTGGTTGCAAACCCAGGATTACTGGCTCGAGATCGTGTGTTCTTAACCACATGCCATCCTGCCTGTTTTCTGCCACAGAGGTGGCAAATCTATCTTTCTCAGTTTCCATTTTTCTTTTTAATACTGTTTATATTCTGTCTTTGGCCACACAGAAATGCAGTTAATCTGTTGACCCCTTCCTGTCTGGCTGCTGGTTTCATATTTGGCTTAGATTTTCTTCACTCAAGATTGAAAAGTCTTCTGTATTTTCACCTAGCATTTTTATTTTTGTAGTTTTTCATTTAATCTTTAATCTGGACTCTTTCCACCCAGACATATGGTATAGGAATATATCTCTCCATTTATTCATTTTCTTCTTGGTTAAACTTTATAGTTTTGTTTGCCATATTTTTTACTTTCCTTTTTTTAATTTCCCTTTTCACAAGTTAGCTTTTCTTGGTCATTCATTTAATTCTTTTAGCTTTTAAATGTGTTTTCTGTAAAATTTTCTCTTTTGGCTTTATTTTTCAGTTTCTCACCTCAAGTCTTTCTTAGAATAAAATGGAGATATATAAACTTTTAAAGATCTATTTGTTATCTATTTATCTTTTAGAGTTCTTTATTTTTCTTTCTTTTTAATTGAATTTTGTATAGGTTGTTTCATTTTGTCTACTTCCTTTTTGGCCTCAGTTTTTACTGATTAAAAAAAATCGTTAAAAACTGACCTCCTTATTTTATTCGCTGTCTTTCAGGTTCCTAATTTTCATGTTTTAACCGTTCTATAGTCTGGCTTAAACGTTTTCTGTCAATTTTTTCTACCTTAGTTTTGCCTTGTTTCTTTGTTTTATTACTAAAGTCTTAATTTCTGTTATAGCCTTCTAATCTCTCTTTTTAAACTTCTTACTCTGCTTTTTTATGTACTTAATTTCTCTTTCTTTAATGAAAAATTTCCCCCCTTTTCTTTTTCCCTCTGATTTTAAAATTTCATTTAATGGTATGTGTGAATAGGGCAGGTGGCAAGGCAGACACCCTTCTGGGGAGAGGGGTGGTGATAAACTCAGAGACTGCTCTCTGGATGTGGCTGTTAAGATGAAAAAGCTTTATGTTCATGAAAACCTATGAACGGGAGCACTTTGTAACTCCTTACAAAATGTGTATTCATTTCATTATTGTCAACATTTTTGCCTCTGTGGGGAGATGATTCAAATTTATCGTTGGACTCCACAGTAATTATTTATCTCCGTACATGGAAATTTTAAAAATTTGTGCAATTTTGGTTTTACAGCATTCAGTTATTATTAAAACTCCCAGAATTGCTTCCTCATCCCAGGAAGGGTTTCTGATGTAGAACTTTCTTTCCTGTCATTGGCCGTCAAGCCCACATCTGTGGTTATACTGGTTTCCTGTGGTTACTGTAATGAAGTGTCACATACTCGGTAGCATAAAACAATAGAAATTTATTTTCTCACAGCTCTGGAGGCCGGAAGTCATAGATCATGGTGTTGTCTGGGCCATGGTCTCTGAATGCTCTAGAAAAGAAGCCTTTGCCTGTTGGCTTGTGGATACATCACTCCAACCTCTGCCTCCATCATCACATGGCTGTCTTCCTTCTGTGTGTCTCTGTCATTTTCTCTTTGTGCACGTCTGTCTCTGTGACCAATCTTCTCCTTCTTATAAGGACATCAGTCTTACTGGATTGAGACTCACCCATCCTAACTGCATGGTGTCACTTATATGTGTAATCTGAAAAAAAAATGCCAAACTCAGAAACGAGAGAGGACATAAGTGGTTTCCAGGGGCTGGAAGGTGGAGGGAGAAGTTGGTTCCAACTTTCAGTTATAAGATGAATGTGATCCAAGGATCTAATGTACAGCCTGGTGACTATATTTGCTGACGCTGTATTGCATAACTGATATTTGCCATGAGAGTAGGACTTAAATGTTACCATCCAAAAAAAAAAAAAGAATATGAGGTGATGGATGTGTTCATTAACCTGATCAGGGAGAATCTTTTCATAAGGTGTGTGATATCAAATTATTACATTGTACACTTTAAATATCTTACAATTTTATTTTTCAATTATACACCAAAAAAAATCAAAATAAATGTCTGTGCACTAAGGCAGAAATCCTTGGGAGAAATAACACAGACACTATATATTCACGCCTTGTGTGTGTGGTTCCTCCCCGACAGCTGGGCCTGTCAGGACGGAGAGAATGCAGAAAGACTTTGAGGGCGTCTGAGCCTAAGGGTGTGGGGACTGAGGGAAGTGGGAGGAAGGCTGTCAAGAAGAGGGGGTTGGCAGGGAGCAGAGGGGAGATTGACAAGAGGGGCCCCTGTGGGCCCAGTTTTATCTCCAATGCTCCTTGGGAGAGGGAGTAATGTTGCGGCTCGTCTCTGCCAGATGAGCTTTAGCTGCAGTTTCCCAGAATGATGACTCAACATTGGTCACCGTGTTCCTGTCTGGGATTTGGAGGGTAAGGTAAGGACTTGGAAGGGATTCAGGGGCACTTAGTTAAATTGGGCTGAGATGTGTCCATTCTCCATCCTCCATCTTGGCAGTGCTGCCATTGGAAAGTGGCTCCACTGTGATCCAATAGCTGGGAAAGAACAGAGATGAATTAGACCCTTTCTTTTCCACTTTAATTATTTCTCTGTAACTATGTCTTTCAGAAATAAACTATCAATCTTGTCCAGACTGGAGGAAAGACTGCAAGAACAACTCTGTGTCTGTATTCTGGAAGGTGCTGTCCAAAACGGTAAGTACCACAAGTGAAATTCTAGAATCCTGGAGACCAAAGAGCTTAAGAGGTCATCCAGTCAGTGATTGGTTTTAATTCGTTTGGGATCACAGGTCCTCTTAGAAACAAAGTTTAGAATTCTTTCCTGAGAAAAATGTTCGTAAGCACACGCCAGAAGATTTTCACATAAAAATTTCGGGCATCTATTGAAGGTCCCTGGGCTCCCATTAAAGACTCCTGCTCTTACCCATTTTTTGGTGTTGGCTGCCAGGCATCTCTGGCTTGGTTTAATCCTCTGCTGTGAGGATTGGCCGACTTTAGATTCCTGGAGCAGTCTTAATAATCTACATTTGCAGACCATTTACTGTGTGCCAGGTGCAATTCCTCAGGTCTTTAACGTGGATTAAAATCCTTCAGTCTCACCAGAATCCTATGACATAGGTCCCATGAGCATCACATCCATTTTACAGATGACAGGTGGAGGTGCAGGTAAATAAGGATGCTACTAAATGTGCCCAGTAAGGGGCAGACCTGGGTGCTTATCCCAAACTGTCCGACTCCAGATCCAGAATCCAGGCTGGGAAATTCTCCCTGACCTCCCCTCTATCTACTTCTGATTCTAGCTGCCTTTGTGCGTATTTATCTATTTATTTTAATGGAGGAATTGAGGGTTGAACCCAGGACCTCATGCCTGCTGAGCACACGCTGTACCACTGAGCTATACCTTCTCCCTGTGCACATTTATTTGTCTTCTGAGTTGCTTGCTTGCAAGTAGACTAGGAAAAAAGGGGAGAGAAAGAAAAAAAGAAATGAATAGAAAAAAGAGGAGAAAATAAAACTATACTACTCAGATTTCTCCAAAAGTAAATTTAGACATCTGAGGAGCTAGGGTGGGTGAAGACTCACATTTGTTAAGTGCATATTTATGAAAAGTCCTGGGCCAGGTGCCTGACCTGTGTCGTCTCATTCAGTCCTCACCATTGATGCTGTGAGAAGGTACAGATCCCCTTGTTCCAGGTAAGAGGTTAAGTGATTCATTCAAGGTCAATGGACTGGTAAGTAGCAGAGCTGAAAGTCTAAGCTACCTTAAGGAGATTCAAGCAAACCCTGGGATGGTTGAGAGAAGGAGATAGCCTGAGGTTTGAAAGAAGGAAACTGCTTAAACTTGAACAGATTCTTTTAACTCTTCTGCCCTTCAGATTCCTTATCTGTCAAATAGAGATAAAAATGATGCCTGTCCTGTAGGGTTGCTGCAAAGCTTAAACAAGATCCCGCCATCCATCAGCCAACTCAGAATGCATTCAGCAAATATTTGTGGAGTACCTGCTATGTGAACAAATATTTGTGAGTACCTACTATGTGCTGTGAAAATTAGAGGCACTCCAGATTTGTTGTTTTTTTTGCTGGCTTTGCTGGAGAAGAGTTTTGATTTATGTTATCCCTCTCTGATACATTTTGTGGCAGTGCTGTTGCTGAAAGCTTTTAAAGCCAAGTCACATTTTACACGTGTCAAGCACCTACTTGTGTTCTCCACACTGTCCTTGGGGCTGGGAGTCCAGCGAAGGGGATGGCAGGCGCCCTTCCTCTGTGAGCCCCCTGGGACCACTCCTTTATCTTGACCAGATGCTCATAGATGTACGTAAGTGGGCTTCTTTCGTCCTGCTAGATCCTTTCTTTTCAGGCAGTGCTGCTTGGTGGTTTGAATCCTCGTCTCACTTTCTCACTTCCAGGTGACGACACTTTGGGGCAAATCGACCCCATACTTACTGTGTGGGGCTGGTGAGAATTCTGTACTGCAGGGTCAGTGTTTGGACTTGCTAGGCACTCCGCTGACTCAGCACTTGTGATGGATAATCATTGGACCTCTCTCCTCTGCTCATCACCCCTGGTAGAAAGACGGACACCTCATTGAATTGTCACAGTTCTCTTTCAGATTGTTCAGTGGTGCTTTATCTCCTGCAGAGGAAAGGCCAGATTCCTTGGCAAAGCATTCATGGCCCTCCAAGAACTGACGTATCTACCCAACTCCAGCATCTACTGAACGTTGCCCCAGGATGACACTCTTCTCTCACGCTCCTAGGCCCTTCTGTCTGCAGCTGCCTCAGCCTCTGCCAGGTGGAATCCTGGTCATCCTTCTGGACTTGGCTTTTGTGGTCCTCCATGATGCCTTTTCTGGGTCTTCCCCCATCTCCATCATAGCATATTTGGACTTCCTACTTCCTCTTTCCCTCCCTCCCTCCTTCCCTCTTCTCGCTCCACAGGTTTTCACTGGGCTCCCACGCTGTGCTGTGTACGGGCTACGGGGCTCAGGGCTGGGGTGGGCAGTGGGACAGCCAGGCTCACAGCTCTCACAGGGCTCTCAGTGCCCTCGTGAAGCTGGTCTTCACAATGCGATATAGCTGGCGGATGTGAGAAGGCTATCTGACCTAGTCCCAGCCGTCTGGCTGGGCCTCTGGAAGAAACACGTAGATGGCTTAGTTTTGCACATTTTGTTTTCCCTGGTGACTCGTGAAGATTCCAGCTGAATGTCTGTTGCATGAAGAAATGAAACCGCTGCTCAGAAATATTCACTCACTCACTCATTCATTCTCCATCTCTCCTTATGCTAGTGTAGCTTTCAGTGTCATCTTCTCTCCAGTTTCTTTTTTCTTGGTGTCCTATTTGTTTTACTCCTGAAGTGTCCACTCTGCTCCCACTGGGTGAAATGTGCAGTGTCTACAGTGCATGGTACCAAGAAAGTGCTTTCATCCTCCTCCCCCAGCCGTGATGTTGCTCTTACTGATCTGGACTTCTGACTTCTGAATCACCAATTTGGCAACCATGACGTTGAACTTCATTGTTCAGACGCAGATTGGAGCAACTGCTTCCAGAACTCTTCTGGGAGGCATGATCCCTCCAATGGCTTGGGATGAAAATCACACAAACCTGGCATGACTGAGCTAGAACCACACAGACTGGTCTGTTCCTCCTTAACCCGCTAGCCGATGCGAAGAGCTGTTTTGAATGGAACTCCCGGTGCATGGCAATTAAGTTTGCATGCTAAAGAATGGTGTTTTTGTTTTTGTTTTTTTTTAAGTTTGCAGAAAATGCCTGTGGTATGGTCCAAGTGGTGCTCAATGGATCCCTCAGTAACGCCTTTAGTAAAGACAGGTACTTATTTCTTTGCATCCTATTTGCAAGGGTTAGCACAGTTTCGTATTGAAGGCTGTGGATGCCTGAATAGGGTTAATGGTGTTCTTGGTCTCTTCTATCTTAGCACGTTTGGAAGCGTGGAAGTCCATAATTTGCATCCAGAGAAGGTTCATACACTGCAGGCCTGGGTGATGCACGACATTGGAAAAAGCCCCAGGTGTGTATTACTATCTTGTACCATATATATTGTACCATATATTCTCAAGGTCGTTTTAGGAATCAATCCATGAAAGAATCCAGTCACAGGAATTCACTGAGAAAAGCCTGGCTCAGGAAATGAATGGGGCCTCACTCTACACTCACCCCATTGCAACAGTCTCTTAATTTTGTCTCCATAGTAGGCATCTACCTAGTTATACCTTTTGCTCCCCTGCTGACCTGTGAGCTCTTAGAAGCTACCTCTGCTTCACCTCTTTACTCCACGACCTTGCCCGGGGCCTGCTACCTAGAAGAAACTAAGAGACAGGGAATGTTTGTGAGATCTTGTTATTTTAACACTTCTTCTTTCTTTCCCAGTGACTCATGCTCGGGTTCCTCCATAATGGACCTGAAATCGATTATGAGTAAAAGAAATATAAAATTCACCTGCCAGGATAACTACAGGTAATTAACTACTCCTTGAAGAATAAATGACCACCTTGCCACCCGCAGGCACCCTGATGGTGACCTGGGATGGTGAGCCATGGTGACCTCTGTTCCTCCCCAGCCCAGCCCTGCCCAGAAGGCGTTTCCAGCCAGTGGCCTTCAGTTGGCCACCTTTCTCCACCCTCTTTCCTCTTCCTGCCCCACACCACTCAAGCAGTGATTTGCCTCTAAAGCTGACCCAGGCTTGGAGGCATCTTTCCCAGTTTCCCATGTGAGAGGCCTGAGCTGGGATCCTAGCTTTCAGGGGAGCAGAAGCTGATTTTGCCAAATGCAAAGGATTTATAAAATCCTTGTGACCTGGCATAATTTTGCATGTGAAGTTTCCTTAGTTGGGTCTCAGGGTAGATACCTAGCACTTGGTAAGTTGCCAAATGGCAGTTAACTAAGCTTTATCTTTAAAAAATTAAAATCTATAAAATCTTTTAAAAGGTTTTATCAGTAATACATGTTTATTAGAGCAAAGTTTACATTACAGATAGGTATATATTTTTAAAGTCACCTGCAACTCTGTTATCAAAACTGGGACCTCCCTCCACTATTTTTATAGTTGTGGCCAATTACTTAATATAGGCAGGGCTCCTTGCTAAAAGCATCTTTGGAAATTCTCCCATATAGGATAGCTACAAGACAGACGCAGAGAGAAAAAGTGTTGCAAAGAATCTAGAAGCTGGAACGCTAGGACCCTCTTCCCACCTCCTTTCTGTCACCAGCCTTTCCCACTGACCATGTCAGAACGACAGAAGGACAGATTCAAGGAATAGTCACTGAGGGCTTTGTCTCCCGAATGACCTGAATTCCCCGTCAGTCAGCTGGCTTCTCTCTGGAAACTGCCAGAAAATAACACAAGCCTTCTACAGCGGTTCAGTGGGAAAACAGACAGAACAAAGGAACGACTATAAAAGAAACATGGCAGACAGCTGACCAGTCTAAGTTATTTAGAGACATTTTGTGTTGGGAAAAACAGAATACTAAAACCTAGGAGAAGACTGGGGGATGGAGATGAGTCTTATCTCCAAGACTCTTTGATCTTTTTTCTTACATTAAACATTCCCCCCTTTATTTTTTCACAAATGGCCCCAAACTGCACGGTCCTGGTAAACTCCCTCAAGTCTCCACCTGGGAGGGATAATTACACATCCCTACCACCTGGACTTGCGGACTGGCCCATCTAGGAAGGAAATGATTTGTAAGGCAGCGCCTGTCATTCAGAGCATCAGCTCATGCGACCTTAAACTTGGGGATCATATCTGCAATCACCGTTGGTCTTCCACAACCATGAGGCCATAATATATTTAGCATGCCTCTTTGAATTGCCAGGCCCACAGAGTCCCTTGTTGCATCTAAGAGTTTCGTGGCTTTGCTAGAAGCTGCTTGTGTCCAGGGGAGCCCAGAGTGAATGTCACAGATACAGACATAGACTGTAATTTAAATAAATCCATCCCAGACATACCTTCCAGTTTAGCCAATTTTCGTCCAGCTGTTTCGCTATGGTTGTTTAATAAGCAAACAGAAGTGTGATTACGTTTATATGGATTAGACCATCTACTGATTCAGCTCTTCCCCTTTAGTAAGTCCCGCCACTCGGAGACAAACACGATTAACATTTGGGTGTACACCTTTAAAGTCTTTCTTTTTCATACATCAGTCTTGTAAAATGTACACAGAATTTCTTAACACGTGTTTTAATCAGTGGAGTGAACAGAACAGCACAGCATTTTTTGGGGGGGTTACTTTAAAAATAGCAAATGGTCAGAATGCTTTCTGGCTAGTGCCCCCTAGTGGCATATTAAAAAAAACCCTAGAGGATGCATTTCTCCTTTTATGTTACTTCAAAATACAGGTCTCTTATTTCATATATAATTTAAATACAAATTGTAATAGCATAAAATAGACTGCTTTAAGCAAAGTACTACATAATTAAAGGTCAAAGTTTGCAAAGAAAAATCTCCCTTGGAATTTTAGAGTCATTCCATTCAAGGTGTGTTTAACACCTTCAATTGTTATTCCTACCCGATGGTATATCGATGAATAATGGTAACAGCATTTTTTAAAAGTTGTAGTAAAGAGGATGTAAGCCGTAGGAAGCATCATTAGGGCAGTGGCTAAAAACTCAGTATTTTAAGTCGTATTTAAAATTTTCATTGTGAACTACCTTGGTTTTAAATTCATTATTTCTGTAAATTAGTAACTGTACATGCAATTTTTGTATTTGTTTACTGGGAATCATACCCAAAAGCTTGATTAAAAGTATAAAGTTAATTTAAAAAAATACACTGTCTCTATCCATCAGTGTGTTATCCAGCATATCAAAAGTGTGTCCATTTTATTGAAACACTGAATGTGAATATTTACATATTAATGGAGAGAGATTCTTTTAACAGCATAATTGCTGCCTCTTTTCTGAAATTGAATTCCCAATAAGTGACAAATCAAGAAACATATTCATATTCTCTTCATTTACTATAAAGTAAAGGTGGCTTCAAAAATCCTAAATAACCTTACAAAAATTCCTTTTTCATAGCATTATTTCCTTAAGAAAGCAGATACTACCCACCCTTCTCCCCCTCCCCTCCCCAATGTATTCATGTGGGAGCTCCAGGCTACCATATTGGTGAGGATGGAGTGACTATACTTAGAGCCACTGTGACCAGCTGGTCATGGCAGTTGGCTAGATCCCAGAAGCCCAGGGGGTCTGGTAGCTGCCTTCTATGGATCTCTTTCTTGACTCACATTTAGCAAAATCAGGTTCAGCTGCAATTTAAGGAACCACTTCCCCACTCTCCACCCACCTCTTCCATGTGCCATTGGACTGTGCTGCTTTGTTATTTAATTTTTATGAAAATGAGAGTCATTCACCTGCTAATTCTTGTCTAGGAATTGTTCTGTGCAAAGGTTGTGTGGTCCCCTTGCTGATGGCTGCCGGCTGCCAGCGTTCCCCCAGTGGGTCTATAACCCCTTCCCCCAGGGGGTCTATGAACCCCCCTGTGCTGCCAGACCCTTTGACCTAACACTTTGACCTAACACTTCCTCATTTCAGGGTGCTGCTCCTGCTGTTTCTTGACCCTCAGCTGACATTAATAACACATATCTGTGATGTCTGAGCCAGACATCTGTTTTCATCTCCATGTATTCAAGCATCCCTTCTCTGATAATTCTTTGGCTTCCCAAGTGAAATGAAATTCAATTGGGCCATCCTTTCGTTCACTCTTTTTTTGACGAGGGGAGACAGGTAATTAGGTTTACTTATTTTTAGAGGAGGTGCTGGGGATTGAACCCAGGACCTTGTACATGCTAGGCATGTGCTCTACCACTTGAGCTATACTCTCCTCCCCCAGTCATTCACTCTTGGACTTCACCTTTCTCCGCGATGTTGTCACTGCAGGAGAGAAACTTGTGTGGATGCTAACAGTTCACGCATGCTTTTGTTGTTAACGAAGGGGCATCTGTCCTTGGTGAATTGACCATAGGTGTATTGTATTGCCTCTTAATCTCCTTTTTTGTTTTCTCATCGTAGACCTGTCAAGTTTCTTCAGTGTGTGAGAAATCCTGAGGATTCATCTTGCTCACTCAGGATGTGAGCCAGTGAACACGGTGGAGCCCTGGCAGTAGATGTCAACATGCGTGACTCAGGGGCCACGCTGGTGGAAACCAGAGGATTGGGGAGGATCCTCTGTCATAGTATCTACACTGCAGATGGAAGCCTTTTCCTCCAAAGTCGTGAACTAACTTACGTAATTGGTGTAGTTCTTATTTTGATCTCCTAATAGTCAAGAAAAAAATAATTGTTTTAAAAAAATAGAATGGAAATTTTATAGTAAGTTATTTTATTTTAGTTTTCATATGATGCTTTCATGCTGTTGATATGTTGGTAACATCCATTCTACTGAAGAATGACCACACTGAACCTCTCTTATTGGCAGGTCAAGAAAAGTAAATGCCTAGACTTTTCAGAAAAGGTTACATTTCTAAATGAATGATCTTGTCTCAGGATATATTTCTGTACCTTTCCTACAGATAAACTATGAATGCCATGGTTATGGGTCACATTGGGAGAAGTGTTCTGTGGGATATAAGCTACCCATGTACTTGGTGCTTTAATGCCAGCCTTTCCAACAGCACTATGAGGTAGACATTTTCACCTCCCATTTGTTAATAATTTCCCTGGAGTCATACATTTAGTTCAAGGTAGAGAATGAATTTGAACTCAGCTTTATCCGACTCCAAAATTCATGTGCTCTCTCTTTCTAGACCTAGAACACCAAACTGATGGTGCCTTATGTTCTCTTCCAATAAATATATGTCGGATTTAATCAAATACAATAGGATCTGAAATATGATTATCCTTGGATGGCTTCAAAACCGATATATTTTTCCCTCCTCTTGCTCTTCCTTCTCCTCATCTTATATACGTGGTAGGCAATTAAAATACGTATTCGTTCCTGATACTAGCAATTTGTTTCTCCCTTGGATTTGTTTGTTTCTCCTTTGAATTTTTCTTTTTTTTT